TGTTAAGGGAAGACTGAGTAGTTCTTTAGAAACAGCCTTGCAGAGAGTATAGGACAACACACAGGCACCTGTACCGAAGCGACAATTCATAGTTTACCTATTACGCAAATATTCCTATTTCAGTGTTTACATGGTCAGAGTGGATGTTAACAATTACATTGGAATATATGCCTGTGGTTAAAAAGTCCAAATGAAGCATATGATCACTCAACCTAGAGGGGAGCTTAAATTGGAGGTAGCAGCCTAGTAATTCAACAGGCTGGTACTGCATGCCTCCTGGTCTCCTATTTTAGCATCAGGACCAGAAGTCTGAACAATTTAATCCTCTTCACGTACACCATGAATACTAAAACACCTCAAGGAGGGTAGTAAAGAAGGCGTACCTAAGGAGAGAGAGGGATGAAGACCGCCTGTCGAAGTTCAGACATTTCCAAAGACCATTCAGTATCAACTGCTTTACTGGGGCTCTGATTAAATAGGTACATCCATCCTCTGTTAAAGGAGTGTGTACTTGAGTAGGATAGGGTTTAGAATAAAAATGCTGTTTGTGAACTACAACAAAGAATCAAACCACAATATATAATTAAGCACCTGACTGGTAAGAAAAAACGTGTGTCTTTTAAATTGCTAGTGAATAAACACTCCAACAATTTGGGGGAAGAGAAAGTCAGACAAAGCCATCATTTCTATTTTCAAATACAGGTTCAGCAATCTGAGATTGTGTCCTTATATGACTACCGAGAACCAAGAGGACCTGAGGGGAAACTCCTATCTAGCATGTTTCTAAATGGATTACAGCAGTGTTCTGTATTTCTTGCAATATACGTTATTTATCCTTTCTCTGAAATGTGCTAGACTTTATATTGAGAAGAAAGTTTGTTTGACTCTGCCATATCTCCAGTGAGCAGGTGCTCTGGTATTAATGTAAACCGTTGATTTAATTTTTAGCTTTCTTGCTTAGCCCCTCACCTATCTAGGAAATTATTTCTCTGGTGATAACACATCATGCTAATGAGAGAATCTAATGCACAATAGAAAAATGTCACTACTAATAATATTTGCATGAAGTTAAATAAAGCAACTGTAAGAGAATGTCAGACAGTTGTTATTTAATAAGATACAGTTTCACAATGAAATTATGTTGTTAATTTTGTTACATCATTGGGTGAATCCTAAATTACTGCATAATGATGCAGAGAGTCATTTATAATTCTAACTTAGTATTTTATTCTCTCGGAAAGGAGGCCTTATTAAGGGATCTACATTTTATTTGAAACAGGTTAAATATACTTCACCAGTAATAATAAGGAAAATGGGCCTAGTATTGTGGGGTACCCTATCATGGTTTTGTTTCTGAAAAGACTTTAAAAGAGCTTAGCATCTTCCATCCCTTTGGGTAGGAATAATAATTTTATTTGCTAATTTCTCAAGTGCCAAAATGGTCACCAAAATAGAGAAACGTGATTTTTTGAAGTCTTGTTTTAAAAAAAAAATTTTTTTTAAACAGGTCGTATCTTTTATTTTTAACAATACCTCCAGAGGCAAAAATGAGCAAATGACGATTCCACACTCTACCAGAGTAGCACAGAAAATGAGCACGGGGTTCTGGTCACTCTCCACCCGTCACTGATCAAAGTGACCCAAAGAAGAACTCACTTTACAAAAGTCAAAAGTAGCATCCAGAAGGTTATCAACTCTTCTTCCACACACAGAAAGAAATGATCCCCTCTGAGCAAACCCTCTCTCGATATGAGAAAGTGAGGAAAGGAAGAGTAAAGATGGAGAGGTATTTGAATTGTCAATGTCTTGAACTTCTGGTAGATTATTCAGGAGGGAGATACTTAATCCCACCAAATTTAATGTCCTTTTGTTAATATTAGCGAGAGTGAAAGATTTGTATGTAAACAGATTCAACTCTTCTTAGATTTTAAACAAACCTACCAAACTCTTCTAGCTCTACCTGGTAGAATACCTACAGAGGATGAAGACCCAGTTTAGACGCTGCGTTCAGGAAGCATTTCCTACCACCAGCGTTTCTCTAGCTGTATACTGGTCTGAAATGGGTTATCTGTAACTTAGTGATGCTACTATCTTTTCCTTTTCTAACATTAACGCAATAGTCAAGGAAGCCATAGCATTTTATACTATTAAAGAAAACTTCGCAATTAAAAAATATATGTCCAAATAATTATACTTATTCCCGGAGCTATATAAATGTTTACACAGAAATTCATCAGAATCTCCAAAAAGCTCTTTATGCCTTAGAAATGAGATGTATTGGAAGGCTGTATAATTGATTAAATTGGACAAACGTTTGCCTGTAGTGAAACAAAAGCTGCCTTCAGGAGCATCTTGAAACTAGTATTCCTTTTACCGATGGCTTTAAGAGTGTCCTCAGACTCCAGAAAAGCCGCACACACAGACACACAAACAGAGATGCTGAATCAGCGCTGATGATGATCTATAGATAAGAAAATGAACACCTTAAACCTGTACAGCACATATATTTTTCTATTTGCACATAGTTCTAACTTATTTATATAATATTTATACAAACTAAAACTGTCATCCTGAAGGGGGGGGGAGGCACATTAACGAATTACCTCTACGTACTTGCTTTCCAAAATTGCATTAAAGAGAAACATTGAATCAAGGGGGAGGGAGGAGAAGAACTCTATAAATTATGTTATTTAAAGAGTAATAGTTGAATCATAATTTTCGTATTTTCCTTCTCTCTTTGTCGTACCACTGTTTGTTTGGTAAGCACTGTAATTAATATAAAGTTGTTTCATATAGTACCCACGATGCATACATTGTTTCCCCATATTTGAATTCGCTTCACAGTCTAACACGCTACTCCACGTTCATGCACACAGGCACACACAAAATAGATCTTTATATACCAAACAGCTGGATCAGAGACACCATAATAGCATAGTTGGGCAAGTTTTTCTCTCGGAGTTATTTCAAATTATTTTCCCAATTCCGATCCAGTTATTTATATAATTTACTTTTGTTTTTCAGCTAACATGTTTTCCAAGACTTAAAGTCTCCTTAATATTCAAAATCCACTTGGAAATGAGCTATTGCCAAAGAAGCAATCTAACACCATCTATGTGGTTCAATAGCCATGTATCAATTGATCATTATCTCTATCTGGTTTTATTAACTCTTTTCTAGCTAGAGGGAGACCTAAACCATTTTGAGCTGGCTCGCTCCAGGGAGCGCGCGAGTGCGTGCTCTCTCTCTCTCTCTCTCTTCCCTTTGCACCCCCACCCCCCCCCCAAACACCCCCCCCCATACACACACTCAATACCTCAACTTACTCAAGGACAATATTGAAGGTGACATCTAATTTCAAAAGTACCACACAAGTTGTTTGGTCCCAAGGTCAGTGAAAACGCCATCTGTGTCCCTGCCATCAGAGAGCCACCCAGAAGGAATGTGCCAGAGAAACACACTTAAAACATTCTGCAATGACAATGGGCTTCTCTGTGAGGAAATGAACTTTAACTTGCAAGAAGGGGAAATTGCACATAAAGAGTTGCTTATTAGGTGTGTGTTGGTTGCATCTCAATCCCAGATTACTGTATCAGCAGTAATCAGGGTCCCTCTACAGGATATATCAAAATACACCTTATTCAAATGCGTTTATCCTGTCTGAACTGTTCGCTAGCTAAATACTGTAAAACCCTGGCTGCAGATGCATTTCTAAACTTGCGGTAGTTAAAAGCTTTGACAAGTTGTTTTCTTATCTCATTACCAATATTTTCAAAAACCTGATTCACTCAATGAAGTATTTCATTCTCGTGAACTTTTATCAGCAAAACACAGGTTTTAGGAAAAGAAAGCCATCGTAGTTTAATTTCGTGGAACAGCATCCACTTCTGAACAAGCGCCATCAGCTCGAGAACCGAAAGAATATTGGTCAGAAATACTTTCGAGCTGAGTGGTGGATGCTATCATTCGAACTCTTGCTTTGTGAGGGTTTGGTGCAGGGCTTTGCAAAGCAACCACGTACGTGCCTGGGAGGGAGGCACCAGGGAACTTCCCTCCCTGGCTTGAGCGCGGTCCAAGATGAAAGTTTCTGGGCTGTTTCCCCTTCGCCTCCTCCAGCTCCCGCTCCCCCTCGGAGCAGCAGCGCCAGCAATTGTGCAAGAGGCGCGGGGCGCGCGGGGCGCGCGGGGCGCGGAGCATCGCGCGCG